TCCGCGGGAGCTAATGACTCGCCCCCGATAGCCAGAGATGGAACCAACTGGCTATGACGTGACGCCGGAAACCACAGCCACTCGGTCTTGGACGGGTTGAGTCGAAGCCTGTTCCTCCCCATCCAGACTCGCACGGCCTCCAGGCACCGGGACATCACTTCCGCGGCATCGTTGGGGTGGTCCGGGGTGGAGATGTACACTCCTCTTGTGAATGTAAGATAGTTGGATTGGGCTGCAATGTCAAATATCCCAGAAAAATAAATGAACAATTCATTGTAATGCAATGTAATGCCAATAGCAGAATATGGAAGTCCTGTTTGTTGAAGAGAGTTTTGTTGGTTCAACAAACCATTCCAAGGTTGGTATCTCCTAGATAAGTGTTTCTTAATCTTGGCACCTTTAAAATGGATGTACTTCAATTGTACTGGGTGGGGAATTCTGGTAAGGTCATGTTTTTGTAAGGAGCAATATTTTGTTTCTTAAAAGTCAATGATTTAAGCTCTGGCTGGATCCATATTCAGCCAGGAAAGTGCTATTTCTATTGATTTGAGGAGTGTATGAAATTTTATGAGGCATGCCAGAAGGGACTAATGGTAGTTGGAGAAAACTCTACTTATGAGTTTTCAAGATTAAAACTAGTGGTGGGATTCAGCCAGTTCGCACCACTTCAGCAGAACTGGTAGCTAATTTTTTATTGCCCAGGCCCAGAATGGACTTCCTGGCATCCACATAGAGAACCGGTTGTTCACATATCTGAATCCCACCAATAATTAAAACCTATTATGGTCCCTGAAATCTCACTTGGGGGGGGGGAGGAATGCCATCATAGACAACAAGTTATATACTCCAATCTTAAGCCATGGTTTAAAAGCCTCAGTGGTTTTATACAACATGCTAAGCCACAAACAAATGAACCATTACAATCTAGCAAGAAGAATAAATCCATTCAGTGCACTTCTAGTAGAACAGGATTAAAATCTGTATACAAATTTTGAGTAATTAAGGCAGTGAATCCTAATATAATTTTAAAGAAAAACATTTTAAAATGTAATTAGACTCTTAATGTAATGATTTCCCTGTTGTTGGGTTCTTTATATCTGAGTTTGTCTTTCTTCTTGCAGATATTGTAATATCAGACTAGATAACATCCTCAGTAACACAGGTGAAATGGGAGCTATTTGTATATAATAGCTCGATTGGGATATTATTTCCTCAGAATTCCAAGCACAAAATATAGCTTGAATACACCAATTCCTATTCAGGAAGGATTTTGAGAAAAATATTTATACTATTTGGGTCCAGGTTATTTGAGGGACAGTCTAATCCCACTGGGATTGCCCTGCCTCACCCATGCTGGCAGAGGAAGCATGCTCCAGGCCCCATTATTATGGCTGGCAGGTCCAGGAGAAGGACCTTGTCCGCTGTTGCACCTGACCTCTGGAACATTTCCCCCTCCCCATTGAATGAAGTCAACTCCACCCCTCCTGACCTTCCAGAAGAGCCTAAAAACCTAGCTCTGTCAGATAGCTTGGGGTTCCAGTGGGGCAGCATCATAGTGGAGGTGGTTGATAGATTAATAACAAATCCCACCTCTCCCCATACTGCTCCAGCCTATCCCTACCTTCCCCATCCTAGTCCTATCTTTTAATTGGACTGCAGGGTTATCTTGTATGATTGTAAACTGCCCTGAATTTGCTTGAGGTAAGATAGGTCAGCCAGTAAATTTTGCAAATAAAATGTATTAATTGATAAATAAATAAATAAATAAATACATAAATAAGCTATATAGTTGTACATCTATATTTATTCCATGTATGTTACATATAATGGATGATCTCTGTATAGCTCAGCTAAAAATGAACAGATAGCAAGAGTTTTTACTTTTCTCTAAACTTTACACTCTCTCAATTGCTATATAACCTTCAATTTAGCCACAAAACTCCTAAACTAGTATTCTCCGACTTGATGGCCTCCAAATTTGTTAGATTATAACTTCATGGTTTTGGTTCCTGGGGAACTATCTTCTGTCACCTTTTCTTTCCTTCATCCAAGTCAGATGAAGAAAAAGTAGAAATGTTCTTCAAGGCTTTTTTTTCTTGCATTTGAATTAAAATTCAGAAAAAAATAGTTTGTATTTCAAGAGGCTAAAAAAATAAGAGGACCTCTGGCTCATATTAAGTATAATATGATAATAGTCACAACCATAGCCTTAATGTATGAAAAGCTCAACAGCTTCCAGAATTTATGACCTGTGATGAAAATATTAAAAAAGGGAAGTAGTTAACTTAGTTAAGTTTTCTCCTTTTGCTCCTCTACCTCCCTTTTCCTCTCTCTAGAATGCGGTGGAGAACTGACCAGTGTGTATGGAACAATTAATTCACCCGAATATCCTGGCAACTACCCTCCCAATAGGGATTGCTATTGGATGATTTCAACTAATCCTGGTCTTTTTATTACATTTGCTTTTGGCATATTGAGTCTTGAACATCATGATAACTGTACCCAAGATTATCTTGAGGTAAAAATAATTTGAAAAATAAATGGATAGTAACAGCATAATAAAATAATTTAATTTCCATCACTGTAACTAAGCTAAATAGTATATTGTATATTATCTGTAATAAAAAAATGTATATTATAGGAAGGGCTCATATATTAACCTTGGTTGCCATGTTCTATCCTGTAAGTCATCCAGTAACATGCTAAGAAAACATTAAATAAAAGTTACAAATCATATTATCTGGGTGCCTACAACATGCTGAACTGAAATCCTTGTGTCATATATGAATCTAGCCGTATACATTTTTGAACACTATATCATTGATTTCCCAGGTTATTGTATTGCACAGAGTCTACACAAATAGATTCTAGAATTTTAGAAAGTAATATCTTAGACTTAAAAAAATAATAGAGAAAATAGAAATACTTTTGATGTTAGATACAGACGATACATCTACATTTGACAAAGTATAACAAATACATGATAGCATGTTTTTATTTAGATTCGAGATGGCCTTCTCTCACAAGATCCCCTCCTTGGGAAATATTGCAGTACTGGGTTACCACCTCCTCTTCAAACCACTGGTCCATATGCCTGGGTACATTTTCACTCCAATGGCTTTGATAACGATAGAGGATTCCATATCACATACATAACATCACCTGGTAAGTATATTTGTCCCTATCAGCTATCTTCTGGTGCCTTTCAGATATTTTGGCAATGGAAACCGTAAATTTAAAATTCTCATCCCACATAACTAGTCTGTAGCAGGCTGAAGAAGACTATATCCTGTTCTGGAGCAAAGCTTATTCACTGATTGCAATTGGGATCAGCAACTCCACTGCTAGGCAACATGGTTGTTAAGTGAAACATTACAGTTCTGGCTGCTGTTATTAAGAATGACATTATTTGATTGCAACTTGTGACTTCTTGCTGATTTCCCCATTGACTTTGGCTATCAGAAGCTGGCTATGAGAGTCATAAATGTGACTGCAGAATGCTGCAACCTTTTTAAATGCATGCCGGCTGGCAAATACAATCACATGATTGTGGAGTTGCTGGGATGGCAATAAGTTTGAAGATTGATTATAAGCCTCCTTTGTAAGTAATCTTTTTTATTGTTCTTCTTAATGTAGTGGATCCCAACTGTGGAGGAAACTATACAGATAGCAGTGGGGTCATCATGTCTCCCTACTGGCCCAGTTCTTATCTGAACAACAGACAATGTATTTATATCATTCGACAGCCATCCAATGAAAAAATCTATTTGAATTTCACACACCTAGAGCTGGAAAGGCATCCCAACTGCTCCCTGAATTATATTGAGGTAATTATTGGTTCCTATTTAATAAAAATGGTGAAGGACAAATTAGATGAAACTAAATCTGGGATTTTTTTTCCCCAGAAAGGGGGTCTTGGGGCAATTAGCCTGCCCCAAGTATCTAGAAGAGATTATTTTCATTTCATAGTGTTCCTGATATCAACCAGCTTCCAGAGAAAATGACATCAGGGGGAAAGTTTAAAACAGAAAAACAGTCTCTTTTAGCATAAAAAGTCTAGATAGTGTGGCTGATGATATCATGGTATTACCAGGAAGCATTGGGTTGATATTTTTGGCCAGTATTTTGCAGGATTTGAAAACTGCTCAATTTAGGCTGCTTGAAGGATTTTAAGGAGTGAAATGGGTGTCTTCAAATTCTCCCTGTCATTTTTAAGTTATTTGAACAGCCCAAACACTCTGAAAGAATAGAAATGTTGTTCATTCTGAGGAGCTACTATAAACCTGTAAACTGGTACTGTGGTTGTGATTCAGTGGAAAATTTTGAAGATACTACTGAAGCAGTTTAAAGCTGTGAGAGAGCAGGGAAAGTAAACCAATCTATTCATAAAAATATAGGAACAAATATACAAAGGTATATAAGAGATTATCAATCTCATTAGGGTCCAACGTCTACAGAGGACAGGAGTCAGGTGAAATGTAATCAGAATAAAACAAAAATTTATGAGCAACAAAGATTATCTGTTCCACTCACTATTTATTTTCCACCTATGATTGAATTCATCTTTATGATGTGCCAACTTAAATATCAAGATAAGCTATGTTAGCTGCCTTACTTTGCCAGGACCATATCTTACAAAAGATTTTATTCCCTTCTGAGTTGCATACAGTACATGAATTCCGCAAGAAGTCAATCCCAGTTTTTACTGACAGGTATTACTTGGAACTCACTCCGGTCTTCACTATAGATTTAATACTAGAGAAGTAGTCATAAGATCTACATTAACAACACAGGCAAATATTAAATATAAGATTTCACATATATGAATAGTTATGTTATTCCAATATGAATTTCAATTTTAAATAAAAATCATTTGATTCTAAATACAGTCAATTCGGCTAACGTTGTTGTTGTTAGTTGCGAAGTCGTGTCCAACCCAGCGCGACCCCATGGACAACGTTCTTCCAGGCCTTCCTGTCTTCTGCCATCTTCTGGAGTCCATTTAAGCTCACGCCTACTGCTTCAGTGACTCCATCCAGCCACCTCATTCTCTGTCGTCCCATTCTTCTATTGCCCTCAATCTTTCCCAGCATTAGGCTCTTCTCTAGTGAGTCCTTCTCATTAGGTGGCCAAAGTACTTGAGTTTCAACTTCAGGATCTGGCCTTCTAAAGAGCAGTCAGGGTTGATCTCCTCTAGGACTGATCGCCTTGCAGTCCAGGGGACTCGCAGGAGTCTTCTCCAGCACCATAGTTCAAAGGCCTCAATTCTTTTGCGCTCAGCCTTTCTTATGGTCCAACTTTCACAGCCATACATTGCAACTGGGAAAACCATGGCCTTGACTATACACACTTTTGTTGGCAGGGTGATGTCTCTGCTTTTTAGTATGCTGTCTAGATTTGCCACAGCTTTCCTCCCCAGGAGCAAGGGTCTTTTAATTTCTTGACTGCAGTCCCCATCTGTGGTGATCTTGGAGCCAAGGAAGATAAAATCTGTCACTACCTCCATTTCTTCCCCATCTATTTGCCAGGAATGGAGAGGGCCGGATGCCATGCTCTTGGTTTTCTTAATGTTGAGTTTCAAGCCGGCTAACATTAATTTTATTAATTATTAGTTGTGTATTTGTTTTTAAAGTCCTTTTATGCAGATTTCCAACTCAAACTTTGTTAAACATTTTACTGTTCCTGATCACTGTTTATTTGCATATTACACTTATTAATCAAATCTACATCTTATTTTTCTTTCCAGTAGTGCTTCGAATGTAAAAGCGATATGATAAAAACATGATATAATACTAATGAATTTATAAACTTACAATTTTTGAAAACGAACCTAGATTCAAGATTAACCCAGTTTAAAATAACCAGTTTGAACCAATAACAGTGCATTTATACTCTACATCATCTTACAAAACAAAGGCTTTCCTTCCCAAACATGGGAAGAACCATAAAAAAATAGTTTCTCAATTTCTTTCAAATATTGGTAAGAAGACAAAATGATCTCATCTGAGTTACAATCTAAGTGGAAAAGTCTCATAAATCATAATGTTAATCTAAATTGCATCATGATGAGAGCTAGTTTTGTTTAGAATAGAATAGAATAGAATAGAATAGAATAGAATAGAATAGAATAGAATAGAATAGAATAGAATAGAATTCTTTATTGGCCAGATGTCATTGGACACATAAGATATTTGTTTCTGGTGTATAAGCTCACAGTGTATATATAATAACAGCAAGTAATATATCATAGATTATAAGTTATAATTACAATCATTAATCATAAGTTACAAACAAAAATTGATAAATCATAAGAAACAAATAGGAGAAGATAGTAAGAAAGATGAGAAGATGAAAAAAGATGAGAAATAAGACAGTGCTGTGGGAATGAAGTGTTCAGCAGAATGGTGGCACGGAGGAAAAAACTATCTTTATGTCTGGTTGTTTTGGCATGGCCATGCTCTATAGCGGCGTCCTGAGGGGAGAAGTTGAAATTTACAATGAAGTTTACAATGAATGTGATCCAGCTATTTTAAAATATTTTTTAAAAAGAAACACATGGGGAACATGTGACAGTTTTCCTTCAGCTAGAAAGTTATCATATGATCTTGGTTGAGGTCATTAAAGGCAATCGCCTAAGGCTTAAAGAGACCTAATTTCTTTATTTGACAGATGGATAAATATTTTTTATTCCAGACAATAAAATTTAACAAAATGCAATAGCAATTCCTGCACAATTCTATGTATTAGGAGTTCAATGAAAAAATATAGAGAAGAAATATCTTATTACAGGATACAATGTAAAGGAAACACAGATAGTATTCAACTTACAATCATTCGTTGTAAGTAGGGACCATTCGAAGTTACAACAGCATTGAAAAAAGTGACATGACCATTTTTCACACTTACGACCATTGCACCATCCCCATGGTCATGTGATCAAAATTCGGACACTTGGCAGCTGGCATATATTTATGATGAACTGTCATGTGATCATATTTTGTGACCTTCTGACAAGCAGAGTCAATGGGAAAAGCCAGATTCATTTAACAACTGTTCTACTAACTTAACTACTGCAGTAATAAGTGGCAAGAAAGGTCATAAATTGATGCAGAACTCACTTAACACTGTCTTGCTTAGCAACAGAAATTTTGGGTTCCATGATGGTTGTTAAGTCAAGGACTATCTGCATTACTATTTTCCATTTGGGTTCCTCAAAAGATCCTGAGGTCAGGCCTTTAAAGAAAAGTGCTTGAATTTTATTGAAACTACTGCAAATCTATATTTGGTTCAGGTTATTTGCATCCCAATGCTTCATCCTACTTTGGCCCTTGACTGATCTCATGACAACTTCAGTTTCTGTGATTATAATTGATTTAGTTCAAGTTCTGCTTCAGATTATTTGAAACAGCTGTAAATGCTGCTCTTCCTTTTGAATTGTTCTGATTCTGCAGAATTTTAGAACATCTGTTTTTCCAAAGAGCTCTTGCCTACTTTCTGGTTCAGGCCATCTGTTACTCCTTGTTTTCTCCCTAAATATTAACCATGCTTTTACTTGTACTTGGCAAAGCACCATACAAACACACACAAATACATGATGCAAAGTTCTACTAAAATATTTTATTTCTTTTATATATGGAGTGGGCGTAAAGGGGTTTTTATTACTCCACAACTCTCAGTAGCTCTGAAGACGGGTCACAAAGTCTATGATCTTTTTTGTCCTTTTTGTATTCTGCGCATTTTGAGTCAGCAAATTGGTTTCATACGGCTTTGTGAGTTGAAACACTAATGAGAAGGAAATGTCCTTGGTTGTCTTTCTTTTTTTTATTAAAAGTTTTATAAAAATTACAATATAAACCCCCATACCCACCCCCCAAAAAACCCTCCCTCTCCCCCACTTCCCAGAGCTGAACACATGGTTACAAATATAATAATCATAATTTAACTAACATTAACCAACTGGTATTTAAAAAAACCAAGTCCATAACGCGCGTTAACTCTCTTTTAACATAAATTTAAACAAATTAAAATTAAACACAATAATAAACAAATTAACAACCTAATTGTTAAACAATACAATACTAATACTAAAAAATAATAATAATATAATAATAATAATAATCTAAAATTTACTCATAAGCCAAATGGAACTTTTTAGTCCCATATTTATTCTGAATATAATCTATCCATCTTCTCCAGACCGAAGTGTATCTTTCTTGTGATTGATCCTTCAAATAAGCAGAAATCTTGGCCATTTCTGCTAAGTTTGACACTTTAAGCGTCCATTCTTTTATTATTATTATTATTATTATTATTATTATTATTATTATTATTATTTGTATACCGCCCTTCTCCCATAGGACTCAGGGCGGTTCACAGCATATTAAAAACAAATAATATACCCAAAATACAAAAAATACACAATACAAAAATACAAAAATACAAAAGAATAAACCCCGATAAAAGCCGAATTAAAACCAAATATTATCAGCTGTGTTTCCAATTAAAATACTTTTAAAATTATCCCTACCTA